AAAATGTGTCAAGATTTATTTTTATTTTGGTATTATTTATTTATTTATTTATTTATTTGGTTAGTATTCATTACCTAATCGAGTTTTTACTTTCTTTTCTTGAATGACATCTTTTTAAGGAAAATAATCCACTTATTAAAGTTACGTATGAAGTTCGAATAATAACAGATCAATGTTCCAGAAATAAAGTTGTATTATTATTACACGCATTTAATGTCAATGAAAATGTAATTTTAAAATTTTTTAACTTTTAGTTACGTAAAAAGTTTTCTTTGAAAGTTTTTCTTGTTTAAACATGAAAAACATTTGATCAAATAATCAATGGTTTAAAGTTTGACATATTTTAAACATTAGATTGTCTCACACTTGATTCACTAATAATCATTAAATAAATCATGCAAAATATCCTTTAGGAGATTTCCCTCATAAAATAATATTTTTAATAATATGTATAAAATTTTTAAATCCAGTCAAATACTGGATTTCAAAAACCAAATTTACAAACAAAAATAAAATTTAAATTTTTTCATAATCAAAAACCACTCAATAAAAAAAGAAAAAAAAAGAAAACGAACAAATAATAAAACTTCATTAATCACATGACGTAGATACTAATCACGTGATAAATAAATTCGTCTAAAACACACAGAATCCAAAATTTCGAAGTTGAAAAAAATAAACCTTTGATTTTTTTTTTCTTGTGTTTATGGAACGAAGTTGAAAAATATTTTCTTTCCATATTAAAAAAAACATACATATAAAATATCTGATAAAAATTTTTTTTTTGTTTGAAGCAGCGAAAAGTTTTGAAAAATAATTTAAAAAACGAATCGTGGAACGAATTAAGAAAAAAAAAAGAAAAAAAAACTTTACAAACGAAAGGCTATACAAATATTACAATGAGTTGTTTTTAAAAACAAAAAAAAATAAAGAGTTTTATATATTAAAAAAGTTTTTTTTTTTTTTTGGAAGGAACTCAAAAACTAAGAGTATAAAAAATATAATATCCGTCTTTACAATATAAAAAGATTATCGTATATACTACATAAGAAAAACATAATGCCCGCATAACCATCTTAATATATATATAAATATTTTCGAAAAAAAAATTTTGTTTTTTATATTATTAATCCATTCCATTGGATTATTTATTACCCAAATCCCGCAAAAAATTTTTTTGTAATTTTTTTTTTTTTTTTGTAATTTTTTTTTTGTATTTTTTGTATATATTTTTTTTATATTACTATTATTATTTTTTTTTTTTATCTCCCAATTATTTTACGTCTCTAGTCATATTGATAAATAAAATTAGGCGACATATGAACCGGTTGGAATCCTTCGTTCTTTATCAGCGATGGATAATATGAAGAAGAATAATTGGAATTGAAACCAGAATTTACGGGCGAATTAAGTGGCGGTGTTACTGGTGCGTTACTTGAGCTATAGGTACTGGTAGTACTTGCGGGAGAAGAAATAGAAGGAAGTGTTGGAGATGGTGATGTCACTTGATATTCATGTTGATGTAAATGTGAGTGTGATATAGTAGAATTGGTGGTAGATGAGTGAACCGGATTATATATTTCAGGGAAAGATGTGGGTGATAAATCATGATATGGATTACCAGTAGCATACAAAGGAACTTGATTATTAAGTGTATTGATAGTGCTACTAGTAGAATTGTTACTAGGAGTAGTAGTATTAGTATAAAACACTTCGCTGCTTGTTTCTGCTGAATGCGGATTATTCGATTGTGCTTGATGACTAATAGATGGATGAAGAGCGTGTGGCGCATTTGATGAATATGACGGATATTGATAACCAGACCAATTTTGAGTGTTTGTGTTATTCTGCATTGTATGATAATTATAATCGTTTTGGTGAGAACCAATGCTAGGAATTAACGGTTGTTGGTGCGATGTTAACAACCGTGACGGTGTTATATTATTAACATGCGAAGTAATTGGTGGGAACTCATGAAAAGACGATTGACGATTCATTAATGCACGCATTGGCGGCATAAGAGTATGTGACCCATCAGATTCATTAGGAACATGACCTTGTGAAGCATATGGAGCAAAATGGGATGCAGAATGCATCGTTGATGAGTAATTAGAATAAGGCATACAAGAACTGGATGCATCCATCTCCATCTTTATACGAGAAGGAGAATAATCCATATTTGATAGTCGTGCGGGACTCACGGTACCATCACCTGGTTTTGGGAGGATAGCATGTGGTGAAGCAGAAGATTGTTTTCCATATGTCATACCATCTAATTCTGTAAATAAATTAAATTTGAAAATAATTTAAAATAATTAAAAATAATTAAAAATAATTGATCAACAATTTTATAATCAACAATTTATTTATTTTTTATTTTTTAATTTTTTTTTTTTATTTTATTATTATTTTATTTGTATTTTTACCTTGTTCATAATTTGACTCAACCACAGGAGGTATTCTAAAATTTTGCTTTAACAAGAACTCGGGAGAAATCTCGAGAATGGCTAAGTTTGGCATTGAAGATGGAGTCTTGAGCTTACCAGCCAATACATCCTCTTTTGTATAATAACTAATCATATGTTGGCTTACACCGTTAACCATGATTGACATGGTTTTTTTGATTAAACCACCTTTCTTAAAACGATAAGTATTTGTTAAACTACCAACTAATGCGCGTTCTTTATTTTTTTCAGATTGTGATTCCATATCAACACTATCACTTCTTTGACGTTCTACTGGAGAAGAATCTTTTTTACCAGTTGGAGGACGTTTATCCAATTCTCGATAAATGAGAAAATTTCCAAGAATTCTTGATGGGCTCCATACTAAACCATCTGTCCAACGTTTTATTCCGGATTCGCGTTCGTCAAATACAAACACACTTCCTGACGTTATGATCTTGCGCTCTTTCTCTTGAAGACGTCGACATATCTTTGTAAGGCAACCTTTTCGACATGCTTCAAATATAAGAAGTGTGTCCTGTGTCGTTTCGATATAACCATGAAAAGTTGGTTCGATACTCATAATTACTATTCTCGTTAAATAAAATGTCAATTATTTACTTTCAACAGGAACAAGAGAAAATATTATTGACGCGACTTGATGGAAAGCGAGGATGAAATAAATTATTGGAACAGAATAGAAATTTTTATGTTTAAATTTTTCATCCAGGAGGAAAAATAAACGATTTGAAGGTTCCTTACTCCGGCTTCTGAGGGAAGGGGGTTGTTTTTATATGTGTACAGCATACAGAACAGGTTTGTGTGACGATTTTTTTTTTGGGATGTTTTCTTTATTATTGAGTCGTATTTGTTTATAGTATCTGGCTAACCGTTTATATATAGGTGATTATTACAAAGAGAAGTATAAAATCCGTTTATTTTTATATATGCGTGTGATTGACATTTACGCATATACCACCTATAAAAATGTGATTTATAACAGGAAACATTGAAAAGCGGGGTATGATGGTATGATAAAAAAAAAAAAAAAAAAGGATAATTAATAGTCCGTTAATAGAAACTTTCCAAATCATTTCACAGATGTAAAACGGGAGAAAGCGTGACAAATTACAAAATTAAAAAAACTTTTTTTGAGTACATTATTCTTACGTTATTTATGAATATAAAAACTTTTTTAGGATGAAGGTAATACAAAGAGAGTAACAATTAAATGGAACTGGAGAAAATTAGGAAGCCAAATGTCTCAAGAAAGCGATAGTTGAAACAGATTGTATTGAATGACGGGGAAACTCATTCTGTTTATTCGTCGATTATTTTTAAGATCCTGTTGTATTACACACCTATGTAAAAAGGTTACAGTACGAGTTAACCGCTAGGATTTTTTTTTAACCTTTAAAAATAGAGCTATGATCGTATACACGAGTTTGTTTTTATTCTTTAATACTATGCAATATCTTCCTAAAATAGTAATACAATTAGGATGGTTAGCGAACAGTCTTATCTCGAACTTCCATAAAAGACCAACCGATGCATTGAGGAGTCCAAACAAGAGATTTTCTTTTGATACCTTCCCTCAACCCAAACATCCTATACGTAAGAACAGTAGTGTAACGTCATATCTTCAAGTACTTATCCCCGGATATGATGACTGCATATGGGAAGCTCCCTTGTCACCAGGTTGTACAAGTGTCAAAATGCTCTATATAAAGTTAAGCTGTCAATTGAGTGATCAATCGAATGATTAACTGATGCATATAATCACAGAAAAAAATTCATATAATCACATAATATTAAATATATGCTAAGTAATTTAGTAGATAAAAAAAAAGAATGAGTGAAATTTCAATTCAAAAACAGTTGCTATTTTTAATTTTTTTTAATTATTAGAATGTTTTTAATTTTTTTGAGATCTAAATAGTTTCATGAAATACCAAACCCCCTTGAATGTACCTTAAATGTACCTTAAATGTACTTTGAATGTACCTTGAATGTATCTTGAATGCAAACAATGACCAAAATTATTTTGTTGACACAGTATTTTTTTTTTTTTGCCAAGATCGAGAGGAAAAGAAAAAGCCATGGGAAGGGAATATATAATAATTATAATGAACAATGTAGTTATGAATTAACCAGAAAAATTCCTGTAACTTTAATAAATATTAAACGTAAACATAATTGGATTTACTGTTTAGTGATAAATTTTTTTTTTCTTTAAACTCGATACCATAATAATCCTTATATGTGTGAAAAACAAGAATAAATCAAGAAAATGGAAACATGTAAAGAGAAAAAAAAACGAATTAGCCAACAAAGGAAGTCAACATTGATAACAATTGGTTCTTTATGCTGCACTCTCCCATAATTAGTAAAATTATTTAATCTATCAGCCTATTCCCCCACCTTACGTGAGTACCCAGCCCACTTATATTTTCGTTCCAATCGATTCTATTTTTCAAGATTTTTTTTGTAAGTACGTACGTACGTACGAACGTGTCTCAGACATTGTGATACAATCTTGGTCACTTGATAGGGTTTTGATTTGTTGCGAATCCTATAAGAATATGGAAACGTAACTATCGGCATTCGCACATTTTAAGATTCGCATTAGCATTAGTGTTATTAGTGTCATTAGTGTTAGAAAAAAAAAAAAAGGTACATAGTAAGTTACATAGTACATATAGTGTATATAGCATATAGTACATATGGTATGCATATATGCGATATATATCGAATATCTAATATCGCATGAGAAACGAGCCTTTTTACCTTAATTGGATGCATGAGATCCAGAAAACAATATAAACTATGAGTAGTGGATAGACAGATCGTATCATATCACAAAAAGTGATGTAATGAATTAATACAACAACGCATTTACATAGTGATATAAATTTAATGGTGACAATATTAAAAAAAAAACAATTCATTGAATTTTTTTTTTAGTGATCTGTGTATAAAAATAAATAAAAAAAATAAAAATAAAAATAAAAAATAAAATTAACTTTCCATTTATTGTTACTTAGTATATTAGATCGCCCTGAATGTCAAAAATCGAATCATGTAATACTGAATTCTAGTGATATATTTATTATAATCATTTATTATTAAATGATCACAGGCAATAGTTATTGGTTACAAAGACTCGTATTCTCCAATAACGCAATTTCTTCATTTTCATCAAATGACCTCCTGCACCTTTGTATTGCATATTGTGACCGCTTAGTATCGATGGTTGTACGATACGGGCTGCACTCTGTAACGCATTATCTGTTATTATAGTTGGAGCGGAAAAAAGCAATTTGTGAGTGCAAGATAAATATATCAAGTTTGGATCACAAAAGATCAAAAAAATAAAAAAAATTATTGTAGCACAAAAAAAAAATTGTTAAAAACAATAATCAATGTTTAAAATGGTATAATGAAAAGAATGTCGATTTTACCGATTTTACCTGTAATTTGCCATTGTTTCAGAAGCCGTGCGCGAGTTTTTTTTTTTTTTTTTTTTCTGACAATGGCGTGAATGAATGAGGATGAATTTACTTTGTATTAAATCTAATCGTTTCTGACGAAAGTTGACAGCATTTGATAAATGAGATTTGCGCCGAAATTACCAAGATTTCAAAAAAATGATGGGGATAGAAAAAAAAAAAAGATCACACAATATATATACATATTTAACGATTAAATGGATTAACTGGATTAAATGATGAAATTATGCAATTTGAGTAAAATCAGAATTGAATTTATGTCAAGTAATGTAACTTAACCGACTTTATTTTTAACATAAAATTAATTACTTCTAGTAGTCTTTTGGGAGTTTAATTACTCTATTTGTTAAATTGCATGTATCAAAGAAAAAAAAATTTTTTAAAGGTGCATGACAATGAATGACAAAAAAAGACAAGATTGAAAAAAAAATCCAGGGAACCGTAGAACGTGTTTTCCTTTTTTTTTTTTTTTTTTTTTTTTTTTTTTCTTCTATAATTAAAGAAACATGATTAGTTATTGACTTAATTATTAACTAGATATTTTAATTAAATTATTTCATAAATAATTAACGAAATAAATGCTAAAAAGAAATTATTCTTTATTCTTAGTTCAATATCAAATATTAGAGGAAGGGAAACGAAATGTCAAAACATTTGACCTGATATTACTACTACTACTTGATACTACTACTCGATACTACTTACTTGATACTACTACTCGATACTACTACTATTTGATACTACTACTACTACTCGATACTACTACTACTTGATACTACTACTCGATACTACTTACTTGATACTACTACTCGATACTACTACTATTTGATACTACTACTATTTGATACTACTACTACTACTCGATACTACTACTACTCGATACTACTATTACTACTCGATACTACTACTACTCGATACTACTATTACTTGATACTACTACTCGATACTACTACTACTACTTCTCGATACTACTTGGTACTACTACTACTTGATACTACTACTCGATACTACTACTTGATACTACTACTTGATACTACTACTGCTTGATACTATTACTTGATATTACTACTTGATATTATTACTACTTGATATTACTATTCGAAACTACTACTATTTGAAACTACTATTTGATACTACTATTCGAAACTACTACAGCACTATTTTGATACTACTATTCGAAACTACTACAGTACTATTTGATACTACTATTCGAAACTACTACAGTACTATTTGATACTACTATTCGAAACTACTACTATTTGAAACTACTATTTGATATTACTATTCGAAATTACCCGATACTATTTGCTACAACTATTTGAGACAACTATTTGATACAACTGCCTGAAATTGTCTATCTGATACTATAATTGCGGATATACATGATGAGTGTGGTCTATAGTACTTAATGCATTACAATTGGCGCGGGAATAAAATTACACAATAATACAACTTTTGGACGGTAGTGTTTTTTGTTTACTAGAAGATGACTTTTGACCAGTAAAACTCATTTTCCTATTATATCTATACGAAAATACAGGTTGTATCACACAGTTTGTGATAAATAATGGATATTTTGTATAATCACATTAAAAAAAAAAATAATAATAAATCCGAATATACATGTTTACCAACATTGAATCAAACTTTACCAAAAAAAACAAAAATCGGGTAGATTAAAAGCAAACACAAAAAAAGATTTAAATGGATAATCAAGCCAAAAAATGACATCTCTTTGGGTTACTGGTACAGCATGGTTCAATTAGTACATTTTAAGTCATACCGTTAAATCCACTGACACTAGACCAAATATATGTGACCAGAATTAGCCAACACACAACAGCGCCTATTCTCTATTGCTACATTCGAAATCATTTTGACAATTTTTAATTCTTTATACACTGGTCACTTTTTACCATTAATTCTTTTTGTACGAATTTTAATGTTTTTTTTTTTTCTCAAAACGAGTCAATCTCATGATGAATTATTCACTAGATACATATTAGATACATACACTAGATACATACGTTAGATACATACATTAGATACATACATTAGAAACATACGTTAGATACATACATAGTGCGTACGCACTTACGTA